ATCACTATAAGGGATTAGAGTATACTAAACTTTACACATTATATAGGCTACATTAACGTGAGGTTTAGTCGGTTCGTTTAACTATTTATTATACGTGATGCACGTTTTTTTGGGGGGGGGGGGTTAATGAAAGTGTTCCAAAACGCGACATTAATTTCTTGACGACCTAATACTTTGTGTTGCCGTAATCAAGCAATTAGTGAGTTGATTTACCATCACTCAACCAAATTACAAGAGATTAACTAGACTCAGATATAGTTATATATATATGTACTATTACTATATTTGATTCACATTATGAATAAATTAATGTGACCTTTCTAACAAACATTATTGTAAGTTTCTTTTCACTATCAGTTTTTCACTCACAATAATATTCATCAAACTACCAAATATGTTAAATCAAAAAGAGAATCTATGATAATGTGTTCAGAACCTTAAGGTGTCTTAATGTATATTTCGTTTTCCTTTAAAGGAGATCAAATATTTAACTTAATGTTAGCCTCACAAGAATCAAAGCATCAACTTATTTTAATAAATAATATTGTTGTGACTAAAACGAAGAAATTTTCAGCACCTAACATGCTTATAGCTAAACGGAAGGCATTATCTAATGCATTTTTTACTCTTAATATTGTTTAATACATTGACTTGTTATTTGTTAACAATATCAATAGTCACGTAATATGAAAAAAATGAATATTTAGCACGAATATAATTCCTTATTTCGTTCTTCGTTAACTGCAGCTTACAGAACAATGATACAAAACGAAAATACAGAAAACTCTTCATTAAAATGCTCCCACTATTATAAATTAAGCAAATGGCATGAGGAATAATGTCTAGGCAATTTAACAAAGTAGAATATGATACTGATTAACAAACTGTGAGCATAAATGTAGAAACTCACAGATTAATATTGAAAATATAAAAGTGAGAGACGAGCACACTGATTGAAAATCAAGTAAATAGAAATAAACGAATAAATACGTTTATTTTTGTTACAGAAACAAAGAAACACTTTAAGTGATGGAGAAAAGCTGAAAGTATTTTTTGTGATTCTTTAACATGGGTGAATGGATTGAAAAAAAAGTAATAAATAAGTGACTGGAATTTTGTTCACCCCTATTACAGCCGTTTCGCATCTTTGAAATTAGTTTGTAAAATGTAAAATGAATAGGTAAGACTGTAATTCACCTAATAATATAAAGATACATAACATAATTTTCAGATAAGACTGATGATACATGAATAAAAGGTAAATTTAGAAACAGACTGATGTGTTAGTTGAACAGCCTTGTAGAAGTAGGTTGATAGGTAACTAAAGAGACCATAGTTGTGTTATATAAAAATAATGTAGCAAGTGGACTGATATACAGATACAAAAAAATGAATACAAATGTTCTTAAACATGTACTTTTATTCATAAAAAACATAAGGTTCCAAAAAGATTAATATAGATATAGATATGATTTTATATATATGTTTTAGAGTAGTTAAAATGTATTAAGTGCATTGTTTGACATGCAAATTTGTTTGCGTGTGTGTAATGAAAGAGAACGAAATTGAGTTTAAGCACTGGGTTGATTAATATTAGATTCATGTAAGCACAAAGGCTAGTATAACAGAAACATGGTTTTAACCTACTGTGACTATTTCTTGTCATATATGGTAACAAAATGTTCGGCATAGTTAGTGTAGGTAACATTTCCCTGATGTCGTTATATGTTGAATTGCTATCAAGTTCATTGCGTTTCGAAAGCTATTTAATGCGAATTATTTAATTATGTAAACGCGATTAAAAACACTTTGATTTTATTTTGAAACACTTTAGATAATAATTTAAAATATTTTACATCAATTATAAAAGTATGTTGTTGTATTTTCAATATGTGATGCTTAAAAACAAAAAATAGTTTTTCTTCTACGAGCTTAGATGTTCTAACTGTGAGGAAGAATATGTGAGCCACTAGGTGGCTGTCTACTCGAATGAAATAACATATAAACCTGAGGAACCTTCAATAAAGTTTTGAGTAATACTTTTGTCACTAATCAAAACTTTGTGATTGTTAGTCAAGTTGAGGATGAAAAAGGTGTTTCCTTATATAAAATACCGTAGAAGGTGTTTATACGTAACTTAATGTAGAAGGTGTTCATACATCATAATGTGAAGATTTTTCTGCAGCTAATATATAGTTTTAATCTAACTTCATAAGGACGATTTGTAAGTACTTATACCTTTGCATGAGGAATCAGCTGTGAACCGTAGCATAAGGGGATACGTAATTAACGAATTATCGATCACTCGAGTAGATTTAAAACTGGAAGAATATTCCACATTTATTTCCGAAGTATTTCAGTGTATTGTTAAACGACATAGATAAGAAACACAACATTTTCAAAAACAGAGCTTTTAATTTTCTCAATGTAAATTGCAAAATTCGAACAACTGAGCTTTAAGTATAGAAAAGCCCCCCAGTGGCACAGCGTTATGTCTGCGAACTTACAACGCTAGAATCCGGGTTTCGATACCCGTGGTGGGCAGAGCACAGATAGCCCTTGTGTATCTTTGTGCATAATCAAAAACAAACAAACAATAAAAACAAACAAGTATAGAAAAAAAAGTTCGGATACCACACCCACCCAAGGCCATTCCTGAGCACCGACCTCAGCCACAACGTGAAGACTATATTTAATACAGAGAATACATCTGACCCCCAAAAGCCACTGAAATAAAGCTAGACGTATCTCCTGTTACCGATTACAAGATAATAAACAAATATTTGAAGCTTACGAACGCTCACAAGCCAAAAGTTCACAAGAGTCGTACTTTGAAATCAATGGCTGCTTTTTTAATCAAGATAGACAAAAACTGGAATAGTTGAAATCCCATTCGGCCTCAAACTAATCAAGTCATTGATGCAATTTCAAATATCTTTAGCCTGCTTAATTCTGGTAACGTAAAGTTGAGG